CAACAGACAAGGATTGATAGCCACTGATAGCAGTAGTATCACTCAGGTGACCTTAAAATTAAGGACATGTGCAACTTAAGAAGTTTGAATTTTATTTTCTTATTCTCTGTATAATTCTCGAGTTCCAATAATTAAAAGACTTTTGTGCATTACATGATGCCTGCAATGCTGCACACCTCCTCTGAATCAAAGTTCGAGAACTATATTTTTGTTAATTTTTCTTGAAAAAAACAGAGGAATTTTTATCATTTGATATCTGTTCAAAACTCCTCGTAATGTATGCTGATTTTTTTGTCTAAGAACATCTGATGGTTCTCTGATTTTGAATTACATGTAAGAGTATCTTGGAAAATCATCAGTGGGAAAGGTATGTTGTAAAGTACATGTACATGCACACTGTGCATGACCTTAAGCATCCAAGGATGGTATTCTTTATAATACATGTATTAATGTGACTTTTGACTCACACTGATAGTGACACATCCCTGGTATTTATCAAATTACAATCTTAAATACCTAAATATAAATTTGAATTTTATAATTTAGTTCTACATTTTTGTGGCTTAGTGTATCTGCTAAATACCCCAGAAAAGAGATGATTTCTCACACAATTAATGCATTTTCATTTTGATCAATAGAGACCAGCCTAACTCTGGAATCCATGACCCAGGGGGCCATGAATTTCCCAATTTTAGAAAGGCAGTCTTGCTCAATGCATCCATGTACTTAGTATACAGGGGGAGAAGAGAAGAATTATACCATATCTCTGTGTAGTCTACTTGTGTACCAAGGCTCATTGAAATCAGACAAAAACTGTTGGATGATTAATGCTTTGAATGAATTTCACAGAAATCTGTGTTCTTAGTAACCATGCCAACACTGTTTGTCGAAATCAAAAACCAATATACAGAATTCTATATCTACTTGTAGTTTAGCTGTGTACAACATATCCAAATCTGATCAAAACTGTAGGAGGAATAGCAGTAAAAAAATGTTCAGGACAAATAAACAGACATCTAGTATTCGCCATTCAGTTGTATGATTACAAAATTCCTAATACCCACCTTGCAATATGTATTCCCACAAGGCTACCTGCTCTAACAAAACTCGAAGAAGTTCTGTGTGACATTCTAACAGGGAGAAAAAACTCTCAGCTTTTCTGTAGTGTGTCTCCATCAGGTGCCGTAGGTACTTCTTCCTCTGCTCAGAATTCTACAAAATATGAAAAAGAAATGCTAAATTGCTACAAAATATGAAAAAAACATATGAAAAACAAATGCTAATTGTGACATCATAAACTTGTACATTTTCCCGTATTTTCTTAAAAAGTTGCAGAAGACATCAATTTTCAATGGAATTTTCTTTCAGATAATATTGTCCACAGGCACCGCCCACAAAGATTTTGAGATATGTGATTTTTCAAAGAATTTTACACAACATATCTAAAAATTAACGTGGGCGACGGCTGTGGACACTATTTTCTTAAGGAAAATAACCCTTGAAATGGGTCATTTTGAGGCTTTTTCTATTTAAAATAGAGAAATGCATCAAATTAATGACATCATATATCCAGAATGGTACTCCATCATGCTATATTCTTTCCTGATTTATTACAGTCATATACTCAACTAATATTTAAGCCAGTTTCAAAACTTTTTGAAAACATTAAATTTTTAGGGCAGAATAAAGCTAAAACCATACCTTCTTCTTTATAGAAGGACAGGTATTATTTCGGTATAACCTGATTCAAAACTTGACCGATTCCATCATATCCATGGGCTAAGCGATATGCATGAATGATTTTAACACGTATAAGGTTGCCAACAACAGGTCAGATTTCACAATTGAGTTAACAAGCAATTATCAGAAAATATTTGAAAGTAAGATAGCATAGTTTGATTATCACTGATTATGTCTAGCCTATACTGTGGAACATTTCTGAAGCGTATACTATACCTTTGTGTTTAAGCTGTATAACCTGTATCATTTATTTTTTGTTTTTTTCCTTAGAGGCTAAGAAGTATAAAATTTAATCATTTTTATTTCTGACTATTTTCATTTCTTCTTAAATTTTCTTTACTTCATTCTGCTTCTGTGCATTTTATGACTGATACAATGTGTGAGATCATACAGTTTGTATGTACAATATAAAAATAGAACCAAAGTGCACAGTTGACAATATATTATTTTTATGACACAAAATCGTGGACTCTTATTTGGACAATTGATAGTAAAAGTATAAACCACTCACAGCTACAATAAAACATTTGTACTTCAGTGCAATACTCTTTTATATTTCACCAGAATTTCCTCTGTAATATCTAATATACAGTACCCTTGGATTTGGATGCATTGATTTTGGCATGGGACTCATTGTTGTCATTAAGAGGGGTCCTTTGGACCCATGATAACCATTTTCAAAATGAATCACTGTAATAGTGAATGCAAACATCACTCTGGCTTGGCCTGAACTAGATATTACTTGCAGACAGAGGAAATAATTATTCATAATGTGAGAGATAAAGATTAGCTTTTGGATTTTTAACAGCAGGCAAGATAAATAATCCCAGGGGATTCACTGTACTGCTCTCTCATATTTTTAATCCAAGTCTACAATATGAAAACCTTCACCAATGAAAAAATAAGGTTATTATCCAACTTAAAAATAAATACTGTCCTTGAATTTACATAAGGCAGAAATAAGAATGTGATATCTTTGATTTTTTTTTTCAATTGCATAAAATCATATTGCAATAAAATAAGTATTTGAACCAGATTGAAGTACTGCACTTTAAAATCTATAGTGTTCCAAGGAACAATTGTGTCACCTGCCTTATAGCATCATTAAAGATGCAAATTAATCTAAGAGTGGTCAGCTATTTATTTGCTTCAAGCATTACAGTTCCTGAATGCATTTGCCTGAAAAGAAAAAAAGCATTCATGGATATAGTAAGACTGTGATAGAATCTGAATTATGCTTCTCACTCAAAGCTAAAATAATGAAATTGATTTTTAATTATTAGAAATAATTATTTATCATTTTATTATGTGTTTAATCCAACTATTCCCAAAAAGAGATTTCAGTCTGTCTTTAATGCAGTTGTCAGTCAACAATCGTAAATATGCAATATAAATGCTTATTATTAAAGGGGCTGGGACACAGATTTGAAGTTAATAGCGAGCGGAGCGAGAAATTATTAAAACTACAAATTTCTGGACACGTTTGATTGACACAAAATCCTTGCTCTTCAAGAAGTAAAGTAATTAAGAAAAGTAGAAATTTTGTTGTGCTATAATCCAGAAAATTCAGAGTAGAAATGTGAGAAAGCAAAGCAAGTTCACCAGTATTGTCAGTTTGTGCTCAGTGATGCGTGCAGAGTTAACAAATTGAACACACCTGATAAAACTTACACATTAAAAATAGCAGAGCTCATGCCCTGTTTACAAAAACAGATGTTTGATGTGATATAAAGAAGAATGTCATTGTCATTGAATTCTAAGAATATTCATGTAAGTTCAATACATTTAATAACTTGTTTTATTTTTTTGAATAACCAATGGAATTTAAAATATAAACAATGCTACTGTGTCTAGGCCCCTTTAAAACTCTGCCTCTAAAAAATTCAAAACACATAAGTTTAAATTAACCGTCTAGCATTTTTTTAGCAAAGTAAGTCAAAGGTGAGCTGACACACTGGTATTTTTCCTCATATTTTATGACAAACTTTGCACATGCTAAATAGCATATACTTAAATCTTAATTGTCAAAAATGTGTTTATATCGGCATCATGAACTATTATATAAAGTAGGTGAAAGGTCAAGTTCAAAGATTACAAGTTTAGTATTTTACAAAAGCCATAGTGCCAAGCAATATATCAGAAATATCAAATCCATACCTCTTACAGATCTCAAGATATGACGTGTGACAGACGGACAGACAGCTAGGCGGGCAGAGAGACCGATGCTGGGTAAAGTGATCCCTTTGTGTCACTCTGCTCTGCAGGTGACACAAAAATTATCACCCTTCAATCAGTGACTGCAAACATCACCCATACAGGCTTGACCTTAACTTCAGAATAGACATTCCTTTCAGACAGGGGTGTTAATTAATTTTTATGTGACAGATCTTAAGATAAAACCCTGGATTTTCTGCAACAGGCATGTTCATTAATAAAAGGAAGTCACTGCAGTTTTCACAATTTACAATATGAGATTGACGGGGCAAAGAGAGATAACTGATGAAAATATTCTTATAAATTAGGAATCTAACCCACAACCCCAGCTCCCAACCAGATGAGATCCAAAATCAAAATGGTGTCAAAATATGTCTCAATGTCTATTCAACCAACATACCAAATTCGAACTTCATTGGATAACTGTTAAAAAAGTTAATAGAAAAAAACAAAAATTTTGAGGATGGAGAGAATGACAGACAGATAGACAGTGATTTCTATGTAGCACCACAAATCCTTGCGGGGCCCTAATAATGACACCTACAAGCATTATACAGTAAAACTAAGATACAACGAAGTCACTGGGACCCGTGAAATTACTTCGCTATATCCGTAATTGGTTATATCCGAATAAGAAATTGGTAAATTTTCATAGTTGGGGATCCAAGAAAACTTCGCTATATCCGTGAATTTGTAATATCCGTGTTCGTACTAAACGAGTTTTACTGTAAGACAATATCCAAAGATTACAATGCTATTGCCAGATTCTTAATAAAGAAGCACTTTCAATACTATGGAATCATTTTAATTTGTGAGGGTAAATGTTTGCAGGCAGTCAAAATTTTACTGGTTCTTGGGGACACAACTTCATTGGCAACTCACATATACAGAGGATTCAATGAACCAAATTTTAATTGTTGACAAAGTTATGGTTTGTGGAAATGTAAATTATTGAGAAAGGATGACCTAAAAAAATTTTGAACATTGGACCCCACCCACAATGATGATTCCATTGTATTATATTAAGATTACATGCAGGGTTCTCCATGAGCCAGTTTACTGTGTACAAGTGACACAAGAAACTCTTTTATGCCACAGTAAAAAATATAAGCACTACAGTAAAAATTTCTCTGTACCACATTACTGCGTAGGGGTCTTGAAAATACTGTACACTGCTCATCTAATAATTGTACAAAATATTGACAAAAAATTTCAAAATGAAAAAATCACATTTATTAGGCCATCTTTACAATAATGTTTGCTTGCCATCTCCCAACTCAGGGTAAAAAAACTGGGTCGGTAGGTAGGTAAGGGAAATTTTTTTCACAGAAAATTTTAACATACATGTTGACTAGATAATAATTGAAATTCAGGAATTAAACAGAAAAAATCTTGGTTTCCTGTGGGTTAAAAAGGTATTGAATCGGGCTTTTTTTCAGTCAGTCGGTTGGGAGAGGGCGAAGGCGTGCAGAATGCCTATAGCTTTACACAGGGAAAAGTGGCTTACATGATATTCACGTAATTATCTTTCTATTTCAAAATTATGTGAAAATCATGTAAAAATTACATAAATATTTTTTCATGTGAATATCATGTGAATAAGTTTGTATGATATTCACATATTTAGAACTTTCATGTGAAGTTTCTTTGCACGATATTTATGCGATATGCTCTTCATTTAAAATTCATACATGTATATGAAAGTATGTCAAAAAGGCTTGAAGTTTTCACATAAATTTCACATGTCTTGTTTTTCATCTCTTTCTCATGCAAAGAATTCACATGAAATTTAAGTGAATTACATTTAAAATTTATGTAAGCCACTTTTGCCTGTGTAGATATATAAAAATCATATTCAATTTGTGAATTTAGTATTTAGAGTATAAAAGTTATAATTATTGAAATTATTATAAACAAAACTTTTCTGAGGAGGGTTTTCTCAACAAAAATTATTCTTTTATGAAGAAATAATGTGGTATTCGTGGGATTTGAATGAACCCCTAACAATAAAAATCCTGAGTATCATTTCCTTTGAGACTAACATGCTACATGTAACCGCTACGCTATACACAACTCCTGAAGAATGGTGGCATTTAAATTATGTTTGTGATATGACCCTTGACTAAATGGACTTCAAGTTTTTCTCAGAAAGATGTGAAAGTTGTGTCATAAAAGTGTATTTTTAAGGTAAAGTGGGTCTTTGCTCTATGTTTTTGTTAACTAGAACATGTACATTTTTACGCAAACTTTGAGGGTAAACTTCGCGAGTATGTTAAGGCTACACCCAGAGATATCCTACTTGCCTCTACAATATGACATCATAGTAAGCTGTATTACGTGAACTTTAGAAATAATAATTTCTTAATATCTATATTTAAAGTTTAATTTCAGGTCAAAGAAATGAATGAAATCATTCAAAACATAATATAAACTAAATCTTGTAGTTTTTGGGTGGTATAAATAGCTAAGTATTTAGCACAGGGGTTAAATACAAAACCCATGATTTCATAACTATTGATCAAATATTTGCCGAGTGAAATTGAACGTGACGAGAATTCATGTAAACAAATAGATGAAGTGGGAGTTTTAAAGCATATACCATGAATGCTATGTGCGATTCATAAGGAATTTAAGATTAAGAATCAGGTACGCTGATATATTCTTATCATGTTTTCTTATAATGAACACAGGCAGTGCTTTGAAATCCCGATTAGCCTTTCCTCATTCGTTCTATAACAACAAAGATGCAAAAGTTCAACACTACGCCGCATACTTTGAAACAAAATTTTTGTTTGTATCGAAAGCTTGTATTCTATAGTACTTGGAAAGTTCTGCTAGAATCGTGTGGTTAACATGAATTGATAAACAATTCCTTGTTCGTATGTACAAAATGTAAAAAATTTGGTAAGGTTTCATGTGAAACTTTGGAATATTTTTTTTCTGTTTCGGAAGAGTAGGATTCTAGCAGCACTTTTCATGGCCCAGTGATGTTTTTACATAATTATTTTCACTAAAAGAAATGAATTAGCTTCAGGGTAGTGTTGAACTTTTCACTTTTTCATTAAGGCAGTTTTTCTATTTATAGACGTCACGTGATGACGTCGTAGTGGAGTGCTTATTTTAGCCTAAGACTCAATGACGTTTATACAATGGATATTAATAGTAAATGTTTTATCTATGACTTTTCCGATTTATCAATGTTACATTTTACGAAAAAAGTCTAAATTCGCCGAAATATGATCTGGGTACTGCCTTAACATACCTGCGTTTTGAAAAAATGGAGCAAAGAGCCGCTCATACTGAAAAATTGTGTTATAGTATGAAAACATAGGTAATCAGAGATTACAGAGCTCACCTCAACGAATGTTGTCTTTAAGTAAGGCAAAGTCCCACACTAAACTAATGATCTAGGAGTGTGCATCCCTAGATGCAACATTTATGCAATTTTAGTCTGATAGGGCTTGCAGTTACTCGGGAATAGACCTATCTGAAAACTTAAAACAAGCCACTCATCCAGAAAATGTAAGTCAAATCCAGCATCCGAAGCAAGTTTGAGATTGTTCATCCCTTGATGCATCATCCATGCAAGTTTGGTTTAGATAGGCCTTATAGTTACTTGGAAATGAGATCTGCTCCAAAAACTTTAACCTGGTTACTCATCCAGAAATTGTAGGTCAGATCCAGCATCCGAAGCAAGTCCAGTAGTGTGCATTCTTAGATGTATCATCCATGCAAGTTTGGTCAATATAGGGTTTATACAATGGATGGAAATGACTGCTCCAAAAACTTAACCTGGTCACTCATCCAGAAAATATAGGTCAAATCCAGCATCCAAAGCAAGTCCAGTAGTGTGCATTCTTAGATGTATCATCCATGCAAGTTAGGTCAATATAGGGCTTATAGTTACTTGGAAATGAGACCTGCTCCAAAAACTTTAACCCGGTCACTCATCCGGAAAATTTAGGTCAGATCCAGCATCCGAAGCAAGTCCAGTAGTGTGCATCCTTAGATGTATCATCCAGGCAAGTTTAGTCAATATAGGGCTTATAGTTACTTGGAAATGAGATCTGCTCCAAAAACTTTAACCTGGTTACTCATCCGGAAAATATAGGTCAGATCCAGCATCCGAAGCGAGTCCAGTAGTGTACATCCTTAGATGTATCATCCATGCAGGTTTGGTCAATATAGGGTTTATAGATACTTGGAAATGACATCTGCTCCAAAAACCTTAACCTGGTCACTCATCCGGAAAATATAGGTCAGATTCAGCATCCGAAGCAAGTCCAGTAGTGTGCATCCTTAGATGTATCATCCTTAGTTTGGTCAATATAGCGCTTATAGTTACTTGGAAATGAGATCTGCTCCAAAAACCTTAACCTGGTCACTCATCCGGAAAATATAGGTCAAATCCAGCATCCGAAGCAAGTCCAGTAGTGTGCATTCTTAGATGTATCATCCATGCAAGTTAGGTCAATATAGGGCTTATAGTTACTTGGAAATGAGATCTACTCCAAAAACCTTAACCTGGTCACTCATCCAGAAAATGTAGGTCAGATCCAGCATACGAAGCAAGTTCAGTAGTGTGCATCCTTAGATATATCATCCATGCAAGTTAGGTCAATATAGGGCTTATAGTTACTTGGAAATGAGACCTGCTCCAAAATCTTTAACCTGCTCCAAAAACTTTAACCTGCTCCAAAAACATTAACCTTGTCATTCTTTAGCTGAAATTGCAGCATCTGAAACCTTGACTGGTACAATGAAACACACTAGAAGCATCCTCTATGCATCTCTGACTAATATAGGCCATAGAAGTAGTTGAAAAGAAAACTGCTCCAAAAACCTTAACCTGGGACGCCGACGCCGAGGGTATTACATAAGCTCCCCCAACTTCGTTGAGGTGAGCTAAAAATGAACCCTTTTGCCCTCTTAAGTGTGTGTATGCTATTTCATAGGCAAATAATTTCAATCCTTGTGAGATATTTGTGAGATTGGAGATTTTACATTAAGTATACTTTAATGTTAGATGAAACATTAAAGAAAATTTTGATACAATTCACCTTCATGTTTGTCGCACTGTAGGCAATCCGCTCCCCTTGTTCGCCCATTTTCTTAATAACAATGTAATTATAACAGGAAATGGTTAACACCTTCAACCAAAATGTTTTGTTAACATTAACCAAACACAGTAAGAAGTGCGTCAAACACAATTTCTGGTGTCATGAAAGTGAGAATTAAAGTAAAATTGCAGCTTCTGGTAAACAATTCAAAATAGGGACCAATTTCATTTCTGTGAATTCCTGTGTCCCATTGTGATCCTATGAATGGGTTAAAAAAATCTGTCATGTTTTGTGTACAGCCAGTACAATTGCCAAATAAAATTCACCACACTTCATTTTTATGTCACTCTTACAAGGGCCTGCTTGGAAGATATATGGGTAATCATTCATTAATTATTAATTTATGATTAAATGATTCCTATCTTTACAATTGGTAATTAAAATCAAACATTCTAGAAATCAAAATGTTATGTTTACCTGCACTCCACCTTTCAAGTTAACATACTTTTCTAGTAATTTCTACATTCAATTGTACCAAAAAATTGTTTGGAAACTTCCAAATTGATACAATTATGTTCTTTTTTTGTCAACTCCAATGAAATCTGGCATTTCTCACTGCATTTACATTTCAGTAGACCTAAACAACCACAAACTTCTTTTATAAAGAAAAGTGAGCTAGTGCTGTCACCATTACAAAATACAGAAGTAGTTTTCTGAACCATTGGTTTATTTTGCTGAATCAATTAATCACTAATAGGAATTAAGACAGTTCTGCACTGGGGGAGGGAACCAATCCTAAATTCAGAATGGTACAATTGGAGTGGGTTTATAAGTCAGCAATGGCATTACTCTGTTTGAAGCAATCTGTTGTTCAATGTATTTTCAATATTGAGGTGGAAAATGCAGTAATTTTAAGAGATCTGTAGAATTAAGTTAAAATATTCCATTGTAGTACCGTTTTGTAGTAGTGTCTTGGGCCTTTCTGGCAGGCTCAGAAAAAATTTACAACACTAAAATTTTGTACAAATTTTGAATTTTGAAAATTCAAAGTAACTTGTTTTATTTTTACTGATTTTCTAAGCCTTTCGTCTCGAAATTTGAGTAATGTACAGTACCTGTTGGTTTCTTAGAGAGTTGTGATACAGAGAGGCTAGTCGGTGGTGGATGTTTGCGGCTCGGTACTGACACATTGGCTGCTTGGCTGATTTGATATCAACATTACAGTATTTGAGAGATTTCATCAGCAAATCCACAACCTCCTTCTCAACCTGAAATATCGACAAAAGAATAATATTTCTACATTGTGACTGCAATACTCAAAAAACTAGAATCCTAAATAATCCTCCCCCCTAAACAATGCTGCCTATTATCAAGAGAGATAATTAAGAAAAATAAAAATTGTGAGGGTCTTTTTTATATACTTATTAAGGAGGTTCAATCCTGAGCCTTTGAGCAGAATTTGGTCTGGACCTTTATTTCTAAAATTCTGCATCATTTTTAAGTTCTAACATTAAATCTGGATTCTACAATGCAAATTAAACTATATCCAATGAAAAAACCACGATTAAATTCCATTCAAATAGGATTAAGCTAGGAACTATATTTTGTGGCGGAAGGTTTTTTAGAAGAAAATGATCAATTTTTCCCTTTTGAAGTACAATGTATATACAATACTGTTAAGTTTAAATTCCTATTTTTCCATGCTGGTTGCACACAGAGCTGTTTTTTGCAGTGTAATGTTTTATTCTGGTTCTGAAATATCTATTAAGTTATTTCTCATGAATTCTTTCATTATATTGTGACAAATATAGTAAATATATTCTGAAAGTCCAGGAAAGAATTGAGCCAATTTTAACATAAAATTAACACTTTTTTAGTAATATCTAAAAATTTACATCATAGACCCCCACTTTTGTTTTTCTTTTCTGAATATATAAGATAACTTTGATCAATCTGCTTAAAATCAGCAAAAGTTTAAGACCTTGAAATGATTTTTTTGCTTGTTAAATTTTTAATGCCAGAAAAATCACATTTTGTAAGTGCAGAAAGGTCAAATAATTGATTATGCGAAGCAATTTGCAACTTTTTCTTAGTCACAATTTCAATGTGTCTTTTTTTAAATAAACTAATAGTTTATTTTGTCCCATGCTTTAATTGGATGAAAACATTGGAGGGAAAAACGTCGAAGAGGTGATTTTTGATTAAGACACAAATTTCAGTACAAAAAGGTCATACTAAATGTACTGTAGTGCCAAAAGAAGCATATTGACTCCCATTTTTTGTTTTGATTTTTAGTTAAGCTATGTGTGTAGAAACTAAAAATATACTTGACAAAAAAAGTTTAAGACTTTAAATATCAGGATCCAACCTCGTTAAGGGCCATTGGCCAGAAGAGAAAAGCTCACTAAGGCCTCTGGTATCTTCCATACAAAGTGCAACGGAATGGTATATATAATGTCAGCATGCAACTCATTTATTTTGCCATAAGACTTAAAATTTTTAACTAATACTTTGGAATAATATGCTGACTGTATATTCCTAATGTTGCCTTTGCAGTCAACATATGTTTTCCTTGGAACACATTAAATTGTATCAATCATTTCATAAAAAATAATTAACATTTGCAAATACTTTAAATACCAGCTGCAAATTAATCCTAATATTCGTATAACTTTTATCAACTTAAACAAAATATTAACCAACAGTTGAATAATCTAAAATAATCCCTGTTGTTATTCATCTTTATAATCTTGACTGTTTATGACACCTGTATAAACAATATATGTGATTAAAAATATCAAAAATAGGGCAGAACCATCATGTTTTCTTCACATTAAATGTCAGAAGTTCACCTCATCTTGGGTATACTCCTGTAATGGCACATAATCCTGAAGAAGGATAGCCATGTTGAAGAAACAGGTTGACATTTCCCAGCAGACAGATTCCCAGATCTCAGTATATTGACCTCCATGGAGATATTCCAGGGCTTTGTTGTAGCAGTCAATTGCCTGAGGAACATCAACATATTGCACAATTTTATAGACTGTCAGTGAAAATAATCAAGAGATACATGAGCCATAATGCTCACCTGAGTTATCCAGTTGTATGGTCTTCAAAAGAAGACTTTTTAAAGATTTTTTCCTCTCTTTTCCCATGAAATTTTTTTTGCCCCTAAATTATGAACCCATCCTAGCTTCAAGGGATCATGACTTAATCAAACTTGCATCCAATCAACATGAAGATGCTTCAATATAACAAATATGGTCTTGCTGTTCTAGAAAAGATTTTTTCTTGTATATTAAAGAAAAGAATTTAATTTTTGAAGATTCATGAGGACATGAACTACGACGCTTCACACCGGAATATTTCATGAAGCGCTTTAGTGTTTCATGGTAAATATGCCGGTGTAAAGTGTTGCAGTTCATGTACCTCATGAATTTTCAAAAATTAAATTCATTTCTTTTATTTACATTATTTTTCTGATGAGTTGCCACAATTCAACTGTCATTTTTAAAGCAAAACAGTTTGCACTATAGTTTTGAGGTCAAGTACGGTATTATGATGTAACAATAGAGATATTCATGCTCATCCATTGTAGTTCATGAGGAAATGAACAGTCTTCTAATTTGCAAAGAATCTTAAGGAAAATGTATTGGAAATGTAAATATATGCATATATACATAAGCTTTGATCCAATATTTTAGCCCCACCCTTCCCAAGATGCCGTGATTTTAAAACATTTATTTCTACATGTACCCTCTTTAAGAAACCTTTTGTAAAACATTTCTCTTTGTGGAAGTCAGACGGGTTCAATCGCCAGTGGCCAGATAGCTCAGTTGGTAGAGCACCTGACTGGTGATTCACTGGGGGCCCGGGTTTGAATCTCGGTATGGTCTGTTGCATTTTTCTCCTCTCCTGCTACACTGTTTAACAGTACCGGTAAATTGTTTTCAAGAAAAGTTTTTATGAATGATGGCACCAATTTGTCACTATTTTATTTTTATCTGCCCAGGAAAAAGGGTCTGGCCTCCAATAAAAAAAAATCAATAGCTGCTTTGTGGCAAGCTTTGTTGACATTTGTGAAGTGGATCTGAAGAAATGCATGAAACTGTAAAAAAAGAAAGTTTAGAAGAAACAATATAAAGCACATAACATACAGATCAATGCAGCTGGAAATTCTTTGAAAAGAAAAGCTCACTTGAGCCTTTGGCTCAGGTTAGCTAAAATGTATTTATAACTTTGTTATTGGATTTACTGTGTTCATTGATAATAAGGATGGTAGTCAAAACAATCTGGATGATAATAGTCTGTCCCACATAAGTGCTCCAATTTCATTGTTTCTTGTGATAACAAATTTTTAATTGTTTTGAAAGAAAATACAATGTATGACCTCATAATGTGCTCAAGCTTTTATATATTATTGACAACAAGCAATTGAGAATCAACAAATGATGCATCTATTTGCGAAGTAATGTTAAATCTCTGTAAACTTTGAATATACATGTACTAGCTGAACTCAAAGAATAGTTTCAAAGAGCAAGTTAGGAGATCAAACCTAGTTTTAATTAATGCATAAATTGATGACATTTGTTCCAAGGAACAGATTACAATGGGTATAAGTATGTTCCCAATTTGCCTTAACTGTGAAATACAGGTAAGAAAACTTAAGGTTCAAAAGGTACTCAGTAAGGCAAAATGGAAATTTTTTAATATGGTACTGTAGATCACCAAATATTTGTGACACCTTATTTTCGCAAGATAGGTATTTGGTATTTGTAAGCAAGACAAAATTTTCATGAATGCTGGTTATTGCTGTATATATCCTATTCCAATAAAAATGAAATTTTCGTGAGAAGGTCGTCTCGCTTAATTACGCAAAAATAAAGTTCTCACAAATAAAAAGTGATTTACAGTAATATGATTGTAAAAACAAACCTTGAAAATCAACAAATTTTTTTTTTTATAATGATTAGTTAATTACACAGTTGAGAAAGATGTAGTTTGGATTTAAAATGACATATGAAAAATAAGAAACATTTTAATATTATTATAGTATAATATGTAAATATTATTTAAAAAAAAATAATTATCATTCATGGATAATCTTTGAAATGCTGGACAGATTGGGCATTGACAAGGCATTTTAAAAGTAATACCCATTTCACAAATAGACCAATTTCTCGCACAATTCCCTTAATTAGATATGCAAAAGGGCAACCGATTAGAGATCAGAGTTTTTTTAATATTGCACTGAAAATAGTACCTTTTAATGAAATTGTTTTAAATATACACATTTTTTTTAACTATGTAAAGATTAAAGTTTTTGCAACCATCATATATGATTAACAATTGCCATCTTCAACTGGTTAACTGGTTAACAATTGCTACAGGTATCTCTTACTGGTTAACAATTGCCACCTTTAACTGGTTAACAATTGCCATCTTTAACTGTTTAATTGCCATCTTTAACTGGTTAACAATTGCCATCTCTATAATTATAACATAAATTCATTCTTCCTGTTATGGCACCCTCCTATGATTTAAATGAAATTTATTGAATGTACACCAAAAAGCACCTTAGTCTGAAAATCTGATTCTCTCTTCTAAACAGAAAACTTCCAAATTTAAGAATTCCATTGAAAAACTTTTATGCCCTTGTGCAACCTACAATAGCTCTGGGGCCAAAGTTTTAATAGATAAGTTGTATTGGTGAAGCAAACAGATAGACTTGTTTCTAAATAAAGTGACTGCTTCCAAACCTGTTTAAAATATTTACGTTCCACATCACTGAACTGTGGATTTTCCAACTGCATTGTGTTCTGGGTATAAGCCTGGGCATAAAGTCTCATCAGCCGTCCTTTGTTTGTGTACAGAAGAGCTGTGTTTGGTTTATCAGACAAACTCGCAAACACAGTTACACCCTCCTCCAATGCTGAAAAGGACTTTTGACAAAGGCTGTCCATTTTTGCACTAGGAAATGGAGGTTCTGTTAAGAGAACAAAATCAATTTTAATGTGATAATAGCAGTTAACATAAAATCACAACAAGAGACCCATGGACCACAATGCTCATCTGAGTAACCCTTCTGTTCTTTATCAGCAGATTTATAATTTGAACAATCTTAAATCTACACAACCTGAGGATGCTTCTGTACTAATATGACTGATTTTTTTTTTTTTTTTTTTTTTTTTTTTTTACACGTGTACTACATATTCTTATTTATAACTTTCATCACATGTTGTGGCCTTACTCCCAGGGGTCATACTTTGTACTTTCTTCAATCTACACTACCTATACAGGTGCAGATCCAGGGATTTTTTCAAGGGGGGGGGGGGTTCCACCCCAGGCATGAAAAATTTCCTACCAAGAATTTCTTGAAAAGCCAAAAAAAAAAAAAAAAAATAAAAAAAAAAATAAAAAAAAAAAAAAAATGAAAAATGACCCCCCCCCTTAAAATCCATTTACCATATGTGAAAAAAAAACTATTTGGTGGTGGTGATAGTGGGGTCAATGTTTCAGGGTGGGGGTCCAAAGTCTGTGGTTCTGAAGAAGAAGATGATAATGTGAAAAGTTTATGATGACAGCCAACTACAATGACGACAGACAACAGACCTTTGACTCAGGTGGGCTAAAAATCAATTACATGTAATTATAGCAATTAATGTAAATCCCCAAATCAGTTATAATGTAGTAATAGCAATTATATCAATCTTAAAAAAATTATAATGTAAATCACAAAAATCAGTTAATGTAATACAGTGAAACTTGTCTAATCCGGATGTTGTGTATATCAAAATCTTGCCTGAATTCGAAGTCCCTTTCAGTACTTAAGAAATAAACAACAATGTTAAAAAGTTCTCTGGGAAATGAATTTGGTTGGTCACGTGATCAAATCCTGTGAAGCCTGAAGGGCTTCTCAGAAGATTTGATCACGTACCACCCAAGTTCATTTCCCAGAGAACTTTTTAACATTGTTGTTTATTACTTTTATTTACATTTGAGACGAATATTCTGAATAGAACTGCATTTATTACATGAACGGCCCGCCGTATTGCTATGTTGTGACGCGCAATGACCTACAAGCTGTTTGGTCTTGAGAGTTCGCTTCACTCCAACATTTGAATATTTACATTGATGTTCAGCAGTCCAGTTCAGGAAAAATCTGTTCATAATGAAAAAACAATGATCGCTACTGGGAATAATCTTACTATTATTGTATGAGTTATATATGAAGTCAAAAGCGGTGCTATCGTCTTCGGTTTACATACCTTCAAAGGAATTTCGGGTTAAAAAGGTAAGCATGATTTTAGGCTAATTAGAAACTGTCAAACATTCTTCACATCGGAGAAAGATCTACTGATCATTTGTTGAACAAAAAAAAATGTTTCAATTTTATCTTTTTCATCCCTTTAACGGCTTCGAAGTTCCAAAACCAGTGTCACTGTGACAGAAATATGTAGACAAAGATATCGTCTCGCTGTGTGATTCGGTCACGCCATGACCTCTGACCCCCAAATAAGTTCATACAGAATTGAACATATTTTCTCTTCAGTAGGTTCATCTAAGAAAAATACTTGCAAATGTAAATAAATTCAGTTGTTTAAAATGTTGTCTAATCTAGACAATATCTCTAACCAATGGTTATTAGAAAAGTTTTACTGTAATAACAATTAATGAAAGGCTGTCCAAAAATAATACTAAACGTTTAACATCACCTGGACGTGAAGGTTTTGGAGAAATTGGCACTTTGAAAAAAAAACCAACAAATTTTTGAGGTCTGTTTTCCAGTTTGCTTTGACTTTTAGCAACTGAAAACTGTATTCCAGAGGGAAAAAACATTTTGGCCCTGCATGAGGTATATTAGTCTAGTTTAACCTGTTTTTCTGTTACATCAAATATCAAAATCATTAAAAACTAGTATTAATTGTAACGGGGACCGTTACAGATGTTCCCCAAACGCTCCCCAACTTCCTTTTGGTGTTTTATTCCCTGTAAGCTTCATTAAATAAGGCAATCAAGTATATTGGTTTTTTTACGCATTACACGCGCGCGCACAGGCATGCATGTATAAAATGACCATGTCAACTTGTCTACACTTTTAATACATCTTTATATTCAAATTTCATCAAAAGATAAAAAAAATTCGGCTATATTAAGTATGTCTGTCATTTTACGCATTGCAAGCGCGCGCACGTGCATGCATGTCCATGATGACCGTGTCGTCTTGTCAACACTATTAATATATCTACATATTTTGAGTATCAAAGCATTTCAACAAAAAGTATAAAAGTTACAGCTATATCAAGTATATTGGTCATTTTAGCATTGCATGCGCACGCATGTGCATGCCTGTGCATGTTGACAATGTCGTCTTGTCTACATTTATAATATGTCTATATATTCTGAGTATCAAAGCATTACATCAAAAAATGTAAAAGTTATGGTTATATCAAGTATATTGGTAATTTAACTCATTGCACGCGTACGCACGTGCATGCATGCGCTGACCATGTCATCTTGTCTACACTATTAATATATCCTAATATTCTGAGTATTAAAGTATTTTATCAAAAGATATGAAAGTTTTGGCTATATCAAGTATATTGGTCATTCTACTCATTGCACGCGCACGCACGTGCTTGCAAGTGCATGCATGTGTGCGCTGATCATGTCATCTTGTGTACACCTCTAATATATATTTATATTCTGAGTTTCAAAGCAATTCATCAAAAAATATACAAGTTAAGTCTATATAATTTGTATTGGTTATTTCAATCATTGCGCATGCGCACACGTGTATGTATGTGCATTCTGACCATATCATCTTGTCTACACTTTTAATATATCCTGATATCCTGAGTATCAAAGCATTTCATCAAAAGATATGAAAGTTATAGCTATATCAAGTATATCTGTCATTTTACTCATTGCACGCGCGCGCACGTACACGCACGTGCATGCATGTGTGCGCTGATCAAGTCTTCTTGTGTACACCTCTAATATATATTTATATTCTGAGTTTCAATGCAATTCATCAAAAAATGTACAAGTTAAGTCTATATCAATTGTATTGGTTATTTCAATCAATGCGCATGCGCGCACGTGCATGCATGCGCATTCTGACCATGTCATCTTGTCTACACTATTAATATATCCTTATATTCTGAGTATCAAAGCATTTCATGAAAAAATATAAAAGTTACAGCTATATCAAGTATATTGGTCATTTTACGCTTTGCACGCGCACGCACGTGCATGCGCATGCGCGCAAAATGACCTTCGTTCCGCAAATCTACATAACATTCCTATTAACCCTAAAAAGGTTTCACCTCAATCGGATGTGTAGTTTCGGAGATCACTCACGGACAAAAAAGTACCCAGGAAGAAAAATAATAATAATAATAATAACTAGACTCTTGTTGCCATGGCAACAAAAAAGTCTTCCGTTCTTCTAAATCTGTAAGAATTTGCTTTTTTTCTGTGTAAAAAACATACATATCATATTTACTGTGAAAGAAAAAAATAACTGGAAAAAAGTCCTTTCAGTACTTAAGGTACTTTGATTTTCATTATCAATCTTGTATAATACATTTGGCACCTATAAGAGATAAACGTATATCATTAGCAATTTAAAAAAAAATTGTTTGCAATCATTTCTAAGACAAACAAACAGACGAACGAACACCGTACTATCATAAGCTTCATTGTGTGTATATTTTGGCATAATTGTGATGGTGTTATAAAAAAGTTAGTATCACACTAAACGTAAAGTCACTGAGTTTTGTAAAGTTATAATATCAAGATTTGACAGCATACCTATAAGACAGATTATTCAATTACAGTAATTCTTCAGCAATCGATTGATTGATTGATTGATTATACGTATGTTGTTTAATGTCCCTCTCCAGAATTTTTCACTCACATGGAGACGCCACCACTCGCCGGTGGAGACTGCAAATTTTTGTCCTATACTTATCGCAATTGAGCAGTGGGGAATCTTTTTTATGCCAGCACCTTCTGCGAAAAGGGACCTCGATTTATACGATCTCATCCAAAGGACCGGTTTCCACGTCCCACAATCGAAGTTCATAATACCGAGATATTTTATTTTTTATTTTATTCTATTTTTTCACAAGTTTGTTGCATCAGATTCACTTAAAGATCATACTTCAAGATCATTTCGAACTCAGGCTACTTAATTGCAGTGCATACAGCGTCAAGGGATTTTGATTGACAGGTCAACACACCTGCACTTCGTGTGTTACTTTTTAAGCTGAAAAATATACAGGATGTGACCATGACTGACTATGAAATCAGAAAACATTTAATAAAGAATGGGTGTGACCGATATAGAACTAATTTTTGGTCTATGTAAATGGATAGGAGGATCGGGATTAATAGGGAATCTCTCTCTCCCTCTCTCTCTCTCTCTCTCTCTCTCTCTCTCTCTCTCTCAGACGAAAATTGAACATTTCATAATGACAAATCTACCATTATAGAATATGAAATTCTGTATACATTTAAATGGTAATTATATTCACATGTTCCAGATTTAAATCTAAAACGAATATATAATTCGAATGCCTAGCTGCACGAACGTCTCCAAATATTAATCAAGACGGGGGGGGGGGGGGAGGCTTCAAAGGAATTAGATAGTTTTATGTTTTATGAATTATAAGGAAAAGTACGGACGTCAGTTGCATGTACATAATTATATACTGTGTTCATTCAGGTATACTTATCCCACATATCAAGAGACCTGTGCAATTTTTTTTATCATGGTTTTTTTTTTTCAAAAGAAACATATACCGTACTATTATTTCACACAGAATCGCGTTTTCACATATTTTTTTTTTAACTCTTTGAGTATTTCACAAGAATCCAAGAATCGTCTTTTCACATCTTTTATAATTCCTTGGGTATATATAGAGTATAAATCATGTGTCATAAATAATTTAACTTTTTATCAAATATACATGTAATAAC